GTGGGCTCCGAGCTCTGCCGACACCCCGCTGTCCCCACACCCTGCAGCCTTTCGGGGACACCCAAATTTAATGGAAAGCCCAACGACTGAATGTCAGGGAGATGCCAGAGCCTTCGCTGGAACAGGGTGTTGAGGCTCAACGCCTCCGTCCACAGCCATCGGCATCTCTGCTGTATCAGGACAAGCTGGGGCAGCATTGCTCAGGACTGTGGGTCTTTATGAATTAACAATTGAGAGCAGCACCCAGGGACACTCCAACCTCTACCCCCGCTGGAAACTTGAGGACACTGCTCGATTTGTTATTTACTGGGGATTTTTTTTCTGCATGGAGGAGAAACACCAGTTCTAGCAAACTTCTGCTCTGGCTTTGAATCCTTCCATGTAGTGTTGCTTTGAGATGCATTACAAAACAATGACATTTATTAATTAAAAAAAAAAAAAAAGCAAATCATGTCACAAAGTCCACAGGGCTTCAAAACAAGCAAGGAGAGAGGCAGGGCAAGTTCTGTCCTCGTCACTCGCTGCACCACGATTAAAGGCCTGCACGCTTCACTGTGTGTCGCAAGTGACACAGTTTTAAAAGCCAGAATTTGGAGGGAAAAAAGTGGGTGCAGCAATAGTGAACGAAAATGATAGTTTCAGAGAGTGCTGAAATACAGGCAGCGTGCATCGAGGGCACTGAGATGTTGTCACACTGTGCCGGGTCAACCCGATATGGTGATAGATAGCTCGGGATGGAGCTGCCTGTCTGCCAACTACAGCCTCGCAGATCCCTGGCCTCTTGCTTTTCACTTGATAACTTAAGTCACATCCTGGACTATTTTTGCATTGTGTTGGCTTAGAGCTCACAAATCTGAATGCACTCAGCCCTCAGAGTGACAAATGTTATTCTCGGTCCTCCCCCGCAATTTCAGGCAGTCAAGAATTAGATGCAGCAGAGTGTACAGTATTTTAATCTATCGATTTGTACCTGCTATGCCCAAAAAAATTCATTAGAGGAGCCCTAAAATTATGAAGTGGTTCAGTGCTCAGCTCCTTCCTGAAAAGACGAGTTCTTTCTCGGCCGCTCACCTCTGTCACGTTCTGGGGTGTGCTACATCATGTTATTCATACTGAGACCTGCACTTAAAACAGAGATCTGAAGCATTTGGTTACAGACTGTGTGTGTGTGTATTCTGTTCAAGCAGGATTGGTTTTTGTGAGAGCTGAGCAAACAAAATCT